CATGCAGGTTTTCAGTGGGCTTCCCTAGGTACAGTGTCTCTGTGGTCTGTTTAGCAAGTAGCTTTCTGAATGTCTGATCTTAGATCTCGACATCTTTGCAAAGGATCGATCATTACATCTATTATGATTATTTCATCTAAGGCTGTGGCTTTAAGTCAGTTGTAGTTCTTGTGTTTCTCTTTCCTTCAGTGATTCTGCTTGTTAACAACAAGTGTTCATCACTAATGCTCAATCATTCTTTAATTAATCACTTAATTATCTCATTAACTTTAACTCTGATTCAGAGTTACTTTAACACTCTTTAGAGTGGGACCATATGTACTCTGAGCAGAGTTAATTTAACTCTGGGGATTTGCTGTGTAGTCTCTGGGAAGGGGTATATGAGTTTCAAAAGGAGTCTGCAATCAACAGTGCTTCCTGTAACTTCAGGTGATCAATGATAATCTGGTACTTAAATTTCTCTGGCAGGATGTTCTCCAGAGCAATGCGCAGCTGTGAGAACTCTCTCGGATCTGGTTCTTAACGAAGTTCGGTATGGTGGGAGCTGGTCTCTATAAGGTAATCTCTAGACTGGGAGGAATATGTTGAGCTGTAGCCACTTCTGCTATCATCGACTTTGAAGTAAGATGTCTGGTGGAAAGACTGATGCTGTGTGGGTCAGGCGTGAGTAAGCTGTGACGTCATCTCCAGCTGCTGAAGCCTCAGGTGATCTTGTCTGAATGATTCTGTCCTGTTGTCACTTGGTCTCTGAAGTAGCTTGGATCGAAACAGAGGGATGGGCCTGGCATCTGTAGTGATCTGTGGAGTATGGACGCTGGGTTGAGGAACAGGGGAAGATGTACTCTGTGGATGGCGACTGGTCCGATCACTCACTGCAAGTAGGCTCAACTCCTGGTGATTCTGAATCATCACTCATCTCAGGGGAAGAATCTACTCTCTGTCTTGACTGTAGCCTCTGTTGATGATCAGTGATGATTCAGAATCACGAGGAGCGGCTACAGTGTCCTACTAGTGTTCTAGAAGTTGCGGAAGAAGACTGAGCAACTGCAACGTCATTCCTTTGAGCAGATAAGGATACTGGAGGAGAGGAATGAGGTCCTGGAAGCACAGTTGAGCCTCATTCCTCTCCTCCAGTTTCCTTTTCTGCTCAAAGGAATGACGTTGCAGTTCCTCAGTCTCCTTCCGCAACTTCTGGAACACTAGAAGGGACACTGTAGCCGCTCCTCGTGATTCTGAATCATCACTCATCTCAGGGGAAGGACCTACTCTCTGTTTTGACTGTAGCCTCTGTTGATGATCAGTGAGCTTGAAAATCTGACAGGTAACTATAGGGAGCCTCATTGCTCGGCTGGGTCTGACTGTGGGCTCAGGAAGGTCAGGTCTAATACTAGAAATGAATAGTGATGACAAGAATTAAATCAATCTGTCACTTATACATGCAATATATATATATATATATATACTTATACATATATAGGGATAAATTCAGACATGTAGGGACTAAATTAGCACTCGAGAAAATGCCATCACATTGTATGACATTTTAGTTTAAATAAATAACACAGATATTTAACTTTTTACACTACAAGGTGGGGGGTTTTGTGAATGACTATCATTCCAATTCTGTGGAAATCTGTGGAGATTTCTGCAGGCGAAGATTCTGTGGGGTATAAAACAGTGCCAGCAGCAATATGACTAAAGATAGCAATGTTCAATAAATAATTTAATGTTTTAATAATAATGACTAGAAATAATTTCTGAGTGTTAAATCTTCTTTTATGTTTGTATCTGTTATATGTTGTGTAAATTTGTTTTCATTTGTTGTTGTTTTATTTCTAAGAAAGCTGAACAATATCTCTTGCAGAAGTGAAGCCTGGGGTGAAGATTGAAGATAACAGACCCGTGGATGGTGGCGATTGTAATCACTTGGCTCACTCCAGCTGTCTCTGGTAAATGATGTTCATAAACAGGTTTTAAAAAAAATACTTTTTAAATACTAAAGGATGGAAAAAGTGTGAATTAAGCTGACTGTGCCTAAAGACACTCAACACAAATCAGTTTAGAATCAGCACACTCCCAGTTAGACCATGAAACCCACATAGGTCTCATATCCTTAATAAACCTCCAACCTCATTCATCAGCAACTTAAGTTGATAAACACAATGTTTAATAACAAAAAAAAGGCTAATTGTTCAACAGACCTTGACAAGATGCAAATAAGTGAAAACTAGTTCTAAAACACACAGAAAAACCCAACACAGGTATTAGAGTGTTTTTGGAGATTAAATAATAACAGAATCTGCACCTGAGAGATAATGGTAGTAATACTATATCTTTTTATAAAGATTTTGCATCTGAAAATCCAATCCAATAAATTAAATTATTTCATTTTGTTTGTCAAATAAGCACACAGTATGGTGCACAGCAAAATCCCCAGAGTTAAATTGACTCTGCTCAGAGAACATTTGGTCCCACTGTACAGAGAGTTAAAGTAATGCTGGGTACACACCAAAATATAATCGGGCTGATTTTGGGCCGATTTTCCCCCTTCCGACAATCCTAGCTATGTCCCGATCATCTTGATGGTTCTACAGATTATCTTATCAGATTTTTTCCTTGGTGTGGGGTGTGTTAAGAGTGTCCGAACCTGCTCGGAAGAACGTCGGAGCCGCCCCGATCGCGAATCGTAAATATTCAACATGTTGAATATTTACGATCAGAAATCCTGATGTGTGGGGGGAACCCCGATGACAAACGTGCGCACGCTCTGGAGATTATCACGTGAAACGAAACAATATCCAATCAGAAAGCGAGATGATGGAAGACGGAAGCATAACAAACGCAGTCATGGTGTTGCAAAAAGTTAAATTGATGTGGACAGCAGAGATGGAGGATCAGCTTGTTGATTTGTGGCAACAGCACGCATGTTTTTCTGTGAAAATCATTCCAAACACTATCATCGCAATTTCTTCCTGCATATCGTCCGCCAAGCTTATTCTGAAGTCTCGCGAGATTTTGTGAGATTTCCTTTGTTCACAGTCGAGACTCTGGTTGAAAATCTGTTTGTGTGTGGTGTGCTGTCTTTGTCACATCATGGCACACCACACACTATAGGAGCGAAACGCTTAAATCTAGGATTTTTTGTCCTCATGTTTGTGGTCTATCACATTTTGAAAATCTTATAAGATGTAAAAAATCTTTTGGTGTGTACCCAGCATAACTCTGAATCCGTCTTAAAGTTAATGAGATAGTAAAGTGATTAATTAAGTGATGATTTAGCATAAGTGATGAACACCTGCTGGTAACAAACAGAATCAATGAAGGAAAGAGAAACACAAGAACTACAGCTGACTTCCAGCCACAGCCTTAGATGAAATCAACTGAAGATACAATACATTAAATCTCTCAAGATCTCAGCAGAGGAGGATTAAACAACTCCACAAATAGCATTACCAGATTCACTTATTACTAACCAGAATGACTGTATTTCTATCAGACGTCAACAGATGTTCTTATCGAGAATTAACAGAGGTTTAGGTGTTGTTGGTTTATTGAAATGTTGGTCACCATTATGGTGATCAGTCTTCCCTTTAGTTAGACAGCTTAACAGTTGCAGCCCGACTCTCATATTTTTATACGTGTTTATGGTCTTTGTAACAGTGTTTACCAAAACACATAATTTGTTGCAAAGAAAACCATAAACAAAGATGATCAGGTGATTATAGTTTTCAGCACCGTAAAATGGAATAATTCTCTTATCTTATCCCTGACCAAAAGTGTTGTTTTGATGACACATTGGTAGCAATCTGTTCCCACATAAAGGTGTTTTAGGGGGAAGAAAATTACCCTGTCCCAGCAGACTGTTTATACCAAGTCTGAACTGAATGAATAATCATGGGATTATTAGTTCTTGTTTTGATCAGTTTGTCATCCCATGTAAATAAAATATTGGCAGGACATTCTTATTTTATCTCAGATTTCTCCATATTCACCCAAGAGGGAAAGGGGGTATTAGCAAACACCTGAGCTAAATACCTGGATTGGGATGCTCAATAATACATCTTAAAATTGGAAACCCCTGACCCTAGGGGTTTTACAATGCCAAATAAATTATCTTATTAACCCATTAAGAGAAGTGAAAAAGGAATTAGGGATTAATATTGGAAGAGATTGGAATATACAGATTTGGGCAAAATATTAATTTTAACTGCATTTATTCTACCAAGTAATGTGAGTGGTAGATCCATCCAATTGGTTAAATCTCTACCCACCTTCTCTAAAAGACTAGCCAAATTAAGTGTATAGAGATTCTTTAAGTTTCCATCTACCTGTATACCCAAATATTTAATTCCAGCAGGAGAGCACTTAAAGGTAGAACCGTCCATAGTATAGTCGAACCCTGATAATGGCAAAATCACACTTTTGTCAATATTAATTTTGTATCCAGAGAAAGTGCCATATAATTGTAAAATTCGGTTGATTAGACAACAGTCTATTGGGTCAGTAAGAAATAAAAGAATATCATAGGCAAACAATGATATTTTATGCATTTCAGGGCCGACCTCAAAGCCCTTTGTATCAGAGTTGCATCTAATAGCCTCAGCTAAGGGTTCGATAGCCAGTGCAAAGAGAGCTGGGCTTAGGGGGTATCCTGGTCTACATCCTCTGTACAAGGAAACTGTAGCAGAAGTAGTTCCATGTTTTTTGCTTTAGGGGATTTTTTAAGAGAATGAATTAGGTCAATATATCCACATTTTTTCAGCACTTCAAAAAGATATGACCACTCGACGCGATCAAACGCCTTTTCGGCATCAAGAGAAACAGCTACTGCCAGTATGCGTTTTTCTTTAGCAGTGTGAATGACATTGAAAAATCTCCTCAAATCGTTTCCTCAAATCTGATAGTCAATTACAAAACCCAGGAGATGCATTTGATTCATATTTTCCACGTCATCTTCTGCTTGATTGTTCTGTGTACATACAAAGACAGGCAGGTCTTACCATAGTTGGGGCAGCAGACTTTGAGCCAGCACACACAGGACAGTACGGTCAGGTTACTGAGGCTGCAGAGACCAAATAAAACTCCACAGAAGGCATAGCACATACACATCACCTCTGTGAACAACCACCTGAAAAGAAGAACAAGATGTCAATCTGTACAATCACTTAAGGCTGGAGTGCCCGATCCTGTTCTATCTATATGTTACAAGTGTTTCAGAAAAAAATGAATTGGCTGGTTCAGATGTGGTTGACTTAAAAGAGCCCTTTAAACTGTAAAATATGTAGTTGCATTGTTTACAGTGCAGAGGTGCACAATCATGTTCTGGAGATCCAGCTGAACTTTGCAGGAAGGTGGATCTCCAGGAACATGATTGGGGACATCTGCACTGTAAACAATGCAACTACATATTTTACAGTTTATGGGAACATTTAAGTCACAAATACAAATAAATGTAAGCTATTTGAAACTACATACAATTACATATAAAGAGCTGTTACTACTTGTTACCAATTTAAAATTTTCTAAACAAGAAATATATATATATATATATACACTCACCGGCCACTTTATTAGGTACACGTGTCCAACTGCTCTTTAACACTTAATTTCTAAGCAGCCAATCACATGGCGGCAACTCAGTGCATTTAGGCATGTAGACATGGTCAAGACAATCTCCTGCAGTTCAAACCGAGCATCAGTATGGGGAAGAAAGGTGATTTGAGTGACTTTGAACGTGGCATGATTGTTGGTGCCAGAAGGGCTGGTCTGAGTATTTCAGAAACTGCTAATCTACTGGGATTTTCACGCACAACCATCTCTAGGGTTTACAGAGAATGGTCCGAAAAAGAAAAAACATCCAGTGAGCGGCAGTTCTGTGGGCGGAAATGCCTTGTTGATGCCAGAGGTCAGAGGAGAATGGCCAGACTGGTTCGAGCTGATAGAAGGGCTACAGTGACTGAAATAACCACTCGTTACAACCGAGGTATGCAGCAAAGCATTTCTGAAGCCACAACACGCACAACCTTGAGGCGGATGGGCTACAACAGCAGAAGACTCCACCGGGTACCACTCATCTCCACTACAAATAGGAAAAAGAGGCTACAATTTGCAAGAGCTCACCAAAATTGAACAGTTGAAGACTGGAAAAATGTTGCCTGGTCTGATGAGTCTCGATTTCTGTTGAGACATTCAGATGTTAGAGTCAGAATTTGGCGTAAACAGAATGAGAACATGGAACCATCATGCCTTGTTACCACTGTGCAGGCTGGTGGTGGTGGTGTAATGGTGTGGGGGATGTTTTCCTGGCACACTTTAGGCCCCTTAGTGCCAATTGGGCATCGTTTAAATGCCACGGCCTACCTGAGCATTGTTTCTGACCATGTCCATCCCTTTATGGCCACCATGTACCCATCCTCTGATGGCTACTTCCACCATGTCACAAAGCTCTAATCATTTCAAATTGGTTTCTTGAACATGACAATGAGTTCACTGTACTAAAATGGCCTCCACAGTCACCAGATCTCAACCCAATAGAGCATCTTTGGGATGTGGTGGAACGGGAGATTCGCATCATGGATGTGCAGCCGACAAATCTGCGGCAACTGTGTGATGCCATCATGTCAATATGGACCAAACTCCCTGAGGAATGCTTCCAGCACCTTGTTGAATCTATGCCACGAAGAATTGAGGCAGTTCTGAAGGCAAAAGGGGGTCCAACCCGTTACTAGCATGGGGTACCTAATAAAGTGGCCGGTGAGTGTATATATATATATATATATATATATATATATATATATATATATATATATATATATATATATATATATCTGTAATCATTTATGATTTACACAATTTATTCTCACACAACTTATTCTATATACTAAAGCATACAGTAAATGCTAACACTGTACATCATGCCATCTTGAATACTGTTTTTTGCATAATAAGCAAGCGATTTAACATTACATTAAAAACAGCAGAATGGTTAATCAGTACTCGTGCACTGTTTTATTTATTTCACTTTAAAACATTACAGGCTGCAATAAAACTGTGCATCCGGGAGTGCACTCACTGAATGTTTGAGTGATGAAGGTTTGGATTGCTGTACGCCGTGACTTGAGTGACCAGAGATCAAAATCAAAAAATACGGAAAACTTAACACTTGATAGTGAAAATTAATTTTCATGTTTGGTTTAGAATCACGCAAGAGAATCATGAGGAGCAGGAAAAAATCTAAAAAAAAACGTTTTCACTCAAATTTATTTCATTTTTTCATTTTTTTTTTTATGGGGACAAGCAGACTCTGTCTCAGTCCCTAAATAAATAATTAAATTAAAGTGCCTAGAGAGAGAGCTCCATCTCTATTGCTGTTTTTTAGTTAAATTCATGTTGCACTGCCATTTGATGTCGACATAATTTCCGGCTTAATTGACCTTGCTTTGTTATTTCATATGTTCACATGAAACAGGTCCATTTCTCACTGCTTACTACTACATATTTCCTACTGCAAGGTGCATGTTGGATAATAATTTCTTTAGCCCAAATAATAGAGCATGGGTTTGATTCCTAGGGAATGCATGAAATGATAAAAATAAAAAAAACTTAAAGTTAATGTACGTCGTTTTGGATAAAAGTGTTTGCCTAATTCATGTAACTGCCATTTCACAGACCCAACCCACACGGTATGAATTCTTATATTTTATTGGTGCTATTTATGTAAACATTTGCTAGACATACTTTTGAAAAACATTATGAGATCCTCATGTTTTATTCCACTCCACTGTCCAGCATCCCTTGTGAATGGCTCCTAAAACCACACAGGGCTTGAATAATACATACTGATTCTGAGACTCTGTAGAAAGAGTCTGCCAGAATACCACAGTACCTGGGAATATTTATTACAGGGCATTTAGTGGTAATTATGGTATTTCTGTTTTAATGTTACCCTGAAATCTCAGAATCCCGCAGATGTACGTCTGTTCATGCAGATGTACATTGAATATCTTAAGATTGGAAGCATGTTGCATGTTCAGTGTCTACTAAAATTAGATTTACAGGCTTGTCCACTCTGAATATTGATGAATCCTCGATAATTTGAAACAAAAATAACTATTCTAAATGGAAAAACGATTTATTTTGTATTCTATTCAAGCTCTTGTTAAGGTGCCTTTCATTGCGGACAGTAATCCAAACCACTGAAAAAAGTTAAACGTCATTTATTTAAAATGCATTTTTTATATTGGTCTATTTGAAAATCATGGTATCTGGTATAAACTGGTTTTGTTTAGTTTGTCTTAAAGCATATAACAACCACCATAGCAAAAAAAAAAAAAGACATTTCATTTTATTTAGTGTTGATGTACAGAAAACGTCTCGGTTGCGTATGCAACCCTCCGTGATCCCATTCAGTCCGACTGAAAGGGAACAAACTGACGAGCCTTACTGGCTGTAGAAATTATTGTGGGTTTTATTCACTTCTCTGGTATTTTTTAGTACATAACAGAAAATATGATGCATATCTTAAAAATACATCACAATAAACATTAAGGTGTTTCAAATGTGTCTTTATTTATAGACTAATACAATGTTATCTCAAGTGAAAATTCAACTCTCATATTATATGGTAATTTATATATATATATATATATATATATATATTAGGGCTGTCAAATGATTAATCACGATTAATCACATCCAAAATAAAAGTTTTTGTTTACATAATATATGTGGATGCACTGTGTATAATTAGTTTATATACATATATATATAAATACACACACATGATTGTATATATTTAAGAAATATTTTCATGTATATACTGTATATAGATTTATATATAATTTATATTATATATAAATATAAATATTTTATATATAAATAATATTTTTTTCTTAAATATACATGCATGTGTGTGTATTTATATATATATACAAAATAATTATACACAGTGCATCCACATATATTATGTAAACAAAAACTTTTATTTTGGATGTGATTAATCGTGATTAATCATTTGACAGCCCTAATATATATATATATATATATATATATATATATATATATATATATATATATATATATATATTTAATAACCTTTTTACTTTGTATCTTTGGGAAAAGAAAATAACAATAAATCAAAAATGAACGTTTGAACCAAGCCATAAAAATAAATGTAGAAAAACGAATACATTTGGGTTATAATTATTTGCATGATAAATATGTAGAAGAAATACCTTGATATTTAAATTCTAAAATTTGGATGTCTCAGCTCTCTGTTTCAGCACATTTTCTGTATGAGATTTCAAAAACAGAGTAGTAACGACATGTGATTATAGCTGACTAAACAAAAATGGGAAGAGGAAAAAAATGAATAGCAGCATCAAAAGAGAACACGGATGCTGCGTCAATGTGTTTCCAGCTGTTCAATTTGATTTCATTTGCTTTTATTATGCTGACGCCTTTAAGATGATCAGAGAGAGAATGAGATGACCCTCTTTAATGAGTCTCATGAGGACACACTAACATCTAAAGTGGGGAAAAAGATAGGCGATGTATATATAAAGAAAGAGGGGGAGACTCTTCTTCTATAAGAAATGTCCCTGCTGTGAAAGAGTTTTACCTGTGAGCCAAAGACGAGGGAATTGCGAAGGGAAAGAGGAAAATGGTCATGCCCAGGTCACTGATGGAGAGGTTGATGATAAAAAACTCGGCTGGCTTCAGAGATGACTTCTTGCGATAGGCAACAAACAATAGAGTGGTGTTTCCCATCAGAGACAGCACACCTGCAGTGAAAGAAAGAAAGTGTTATGTGCCTTAAAATGTGTTATGAAAAACACTACTGAAAACCCTAATATGTTGATTGAACTCAATTGATTTGAGTAAACTCGATCCCTCAATTTAATTGAGTAATGGGGTCTCCGAAAACATGCATATTTAAGTGTACTTAACTTGGTGCTTATGTAGACTGTAACACTGAAGCAGTGTTAGTTAATGAGATAATTAAGTGATTAATTGAGTGATGATTGAGCATTATTGAAGACACCTGATGTTAACAAGCAGAATCACTGAAGGAGAAAACCATAATTTTTAAGTCACCGTTGTGGTGATCAGTGTTTGTTTAGTTGGGCTCTTGACCCTTAACTCATTAACTTTATATTTTGTTTGATGGCTGTAACTCAGTTGTAACCAGATGAACAAATAGAAAAGGTCATCTGATGGTGGTGATTTTGTTTTAACATAATAATTATTTCATAATTATTAGAATATAATCTTTGAAGTCATAAAGCTGAATCAAGTTCACCTTACTGATTATAGCAGCACTGTTTATATATTATATAATATTTGTAACATTTAAATTTTAATCCAAATATTCTCTTTTAAGGTTGCTATCATAAAAAAATATGTAGATCATATTATTTTAGACACATAGAGATCAAGAATCAGCCTGTGAATCTCAGCAATGGTGACATAAAGCATGTTGCAGTGCATTCTGGGTGCCACCAATCAAAACTCCTTCATGGCTCCCATCATGCATTGCTGCATGAATAAATAATGAGCTTATGTTCAGAGGTGATCTGTTTATCCCCATTGCTGAGATTCATACTGTCACAGTGTCTGGGTTGTGTTCCCTGGGTTATCACTAGAGGTCCTCGTTTCCACGGTGTCATTCACGATTAACTACATTTCCCAGCATTCTGTTCTGCCACTCATCTGATCATTGCACACAGCTGTTTCCGGTAACACTTTAGAATACGGTTCCTTCGTTAATGAATAACTACACAGGAACAAATGAGTAACACAATATTAACAATCGAGTAACTACTATTAACTAACAAGAAATTCTGATTAACGAATTAGTAAGTAATAGCGCACAGATGAAAGTGGTAGTTCACTATTAACTAATCAATAACTACTTTTTTTTAATGCTTCCCAGAGAACTACTGAAAAAGATTAATAATTCATGCAAAAATAATCAATAACTAATGCAGGACAAATGAATAGCACTACATTAACATTAATAACTGCTACTGTAAACAAATACACAAGGTTTATCAATATGTAATAGCATGGCAGACTTATGATTTGGGAAATAATTAGCCTATGCTCTCTCCTAGAGAACTATTTATCAACTGAATAATTTTAAAGAAATGGCTTTTTAAATGCAGTTGTCGGGACCTTACTTGTCCTTTAGTGATTCAATGCCAGTCCAGAGGAATGCCAGAAAATTGGCCAGAGTCACGGTGACGGCTGGAACATATTGAGTTATCGGCCATCCAAATACCATATACAGTGATTTTATTATTTAACCTACCTCGCAAAAAAATAGCTCCTAGCTCATATACGTGTGTGCAAATCTCTTGTGAAGTATTAGAAGATTCTACACTTTAGGATTTGCTTTTCATGTAAGAATCATGGTAACTAAATTGTAATGACTCAAGTGTTACTACATACTTCTAAAGGAATGACTAATTGTTTGGATCCGTATTCTAAAGTGAAGATCATTGTAACTAACTAGTAATGACTCAAGTGTTACTACATACTTCCAAAGGAATTGCTAATTATTTGGATCCGTATTCTAAAGTGAAGATCATGGTAACTAACTAGTAATGACTCAAGTGTTACTACATACTTCCAAAGGAATTGCTAATTATTTGGATCCGTATTCTAAAGTGAAGATCATGGTAACTAACTAGTAATGACTCAAGTGTTACTACATAGTTCTATGGTAATTACTATCTAAAACTTCACCAAAAACCTCAAAAGCTTAAAAGAATTATTAATTCCTTTGGAAGTATGTAGTAACACTTGAGGAATTACTAGTTAGTTACCATGATCTTCACTTTAGAATACGGATCCAAATAATTTGTCATTCCTTTAGAAGTATGTATTAACTCTTGAGTAAGTACTAGTTAGTTACCATGATTCTTACAGTAGTTCTCTGGGAAGCATTAAAAAAAAAGTAGTTATTGATTAGTTAATAGTGAACTACCACTTTAATCTGTGCGCTGTTACTTACTAATTTGTTAATCAGAATTTCTTGTTAGTTAATAGTAGTTACTCGATTGTTAATATTGTGTTACTCATTTGTTCCTGTGTAGTTATTAATTAACGAAGGAACCGTATTCTAAAGTGTTACCCTGTTTCCCGTCACCTTGTTAGTTCTATGTGTGTATATAAACCCTGTCTGTGTTAGTGTTTGTCATGGAGTCCTTATCTATTATCACACCTCGTCTGAGGTCTGTTTCTGTCTATTTATTGTTCCTTGTGTTTTGGATTGCTTATGTGGATGTTGACCCCTACCTGGATTTCTGTCACGATCCACACTCACAGAGACACAGAAGATCCAATGATGCAGTACAGTATTTATTTAGGGAAATCAGTTGCTCACAAAACAGTCCAGGCAGGGGTCAACATGGGAAATGTAGTTTATCGTGAATGACACCGTGGAAACGAGGACCTCTAGTGATAACCCAGGGAACACAACCCAGACACTGTGACACATACGCTAAATCTTGATGTCTGTGTGTCTAAAAATAATATACAGTAATATGTATAAGAACAACTTTAAAGTAATTGTTTGCATTATGATGTAATCATTGAAAATGTAATGCTGTACAAGGACAGTGTTGCTATAATTAATACCATAAATCTAATTCAGAAATTGGGCTTTAAATGAGTTTAGGATTCAGGTCAAATGATTGTGAAATAATGATTATGTTAAAACACAATCACCACCATCAGATGTGTTACATGTTATAACTGAATTACAGCAGTCAAACAAAATATAAAGTTACTGATCAAAGGGTCAAGAGCCCAACTAAAACAAACACCGATCACCATAACGGTGACTTACAAATTATGGTTTTCCCCTTCAGTGATTCTGCTTGTTAACATCAGGTAACTTCAATAAAGCTCAATCATCACTCAATTATTCACTTAATTATCTCATTAACTTTAACACTCCTTCAGTGTTACTTATAACACTCTTGAGTGTGGACTGATATAAACGCTGAGCAGTGTTAATTTAACACTGGGGATTTTGCTGTGTACTTAAATATACAAGTACACTTGAAATCAACACTAAGTTAAGTGAACTTTATTGTTTAAGTACATTAAATAATCGTCAAGTTTGGAGAACTAAACAATTTAAGTCAAGTCTACATAAGCACCAAGTTAAGTACACTTAAATATGCACGTTTTGGGAGACCCCATTACTCAATTAAATTGAGGGAACGAGTTTACTCAAATCAATTGAGTTCAATCAACTTATTAGTGTTTTCAGTGTTAACTTTCAGAACTTGTACAAATGATGCTCAATCATCACTCAATTAATCACTTAATTATCTCATTAACTTTAACACTGGTTCAGTGTTACTTAACACTCTTGAGTGTGGACTCATATAAACACTGAGCAGTGTAAATTTAACACTGGGGATGTACTGTATTACAAAAACACTTGTATATGGGTATTAAAGTTTATTTATCAAGTTTAAAGTATCAGATTTAAAAATAAAAATCAGTTTATTTCCATTACGATCAATAATTGTAATATAATGAAAGCCATTTGTTTTCTGGTAAAATAAGAATGACACCTTGCACTTGAAGAAAGCATGTATGAATGTATTCATTTCACAGTCAAGAAAACAACATTTGTGAAAATGACCTTTTATAAGGATTAATCATGATTTTGAGCTCACAGCACTTGAAATCTTAAGTTTATGTATTTTGAAGGTAAATATATTTTTGAGTGACAGGCCCAAAATGCTAAATTTAAAGTAATGTTTAGTCAAGTACACTTGATTGTTTAAGTAAAGACAACATTAGGGTTTACGCTTAGGTGCTGCTACATCAGCGTTATTCACCTATCATTTCCCTCGGATATTTGGGATAAGTTAGGTTTAGGGGTAGGGATACGGTTAGGCCTAAACCTTGATCCAGAACCATTTAATTCAGAACCCAAATATTTTGATCCAGAACCATTTCTTACTTGGCAAAATCACATTGACCATCAATGGAAGGACTGAAATCTCCTAGATTTCATTAAAATATATTAATTTGTGTTTCAAAGATTAACACAAGTCTTACGGTTTGGAATGACATTAATAATTAATGACAGAACTGACTTTAACATGATTAACATGTTTACTATCCTATTCACTATTAATTACTATCATATCCTTTATAATAGGGTGGTTGCAGAAATAAAATAAAATGTTTAGCAAGTCATTTTTGACTACTTTAAAAAGACACTTACCAAAGATGGTGTAGATGATTCCCAGGAGCAAGTCATTCTCTTTCGATATTTTGGACATAAACAAGTTAGTTTCAGATGAGTTTTCCATCTGCACAGAAGAAGACGAGAAGCAAATGTAAGACCACATCCAGACCTTTGTTTTAGTTTGCACACATTCCTCTGAATTTTTAAAGTTCATGTTGTTGGATTCTGCCTTTTTCCCAGAATTGATCAATGCATTTCCATTAGCACCTGCTCTAGTCTAAAAGATGAGAAGGTCTCCGGAAACGAGAGTCTCATTATGTCTTACCATAAATAAATTTTGCTCTAAATTGCACACAATCCACATAGCAAAGAGATGTAGCATGTGTGCAGTAATGCAAAACACACACACTAGAGCATGACGGCGTGTGCAGGGACTCTGAATGAAACCAATGGATTGGTTTGGTGAACATAGTGAATTATACACTAATCTTATAACCTTATTCTGGAGTACTTTAAGTGGAGCAAAGAGCATTTTCAGAGGCAACACATGCACAGTAATATGTCGGCACTTCCCTTGCTTTCTCATTACTAACACATTTTGCTTTCCTCCACTTTCATCTTTAGCCTGCGGGCACCTGCCCCAGAGGAATATATCACACACAACAAATGATCCGGCGCTCCACATCCTCTCTCCTATAGCCCACGGAAAGATATTTTATCATACAAAATATTGCTCTTTGATATCAAGAACAAAACATTTATATGCATCCCACAACCAACAGACCACATCCCCTGTTAGTCCATTCAGGAAATGTCAGTTGCAAGACAACAATTCTTCCTTTGATTTATGGATTTGTCAAGTGTGCTGTCAGCCAGATGCAAAATGGGCCGTTTGATTGATGCTCTTGAGTTTTGAAAGCTATTACACTGGTGGCCAGTAGAACATCTTGACAACTTCCAAGTCAGTTGCTTATAGTCGGTAGAATGCCTAAAGCGGTCCATCAAAATAAAGTGTTAATTTTTATTTGATCAATTTCAACATAAGTCTTTTGAGCACTAGACTTATAATGTCTTAACATTTAACAAGTTGTTTGTCTCCTCTAAATGGTTGCTTCAAACATTGATTAATTGATTTAATTGTGTGAAGTAATTATAACATTACCGCTACATACCTCTCAATGTAATTCAATATTTTGTAGATCGTAGATCTGACCAGCAGCGAGCAAATCTCCTAAAAACAACGATATTAAAGGAAGAGCAAACGGAGACCCCACATTAATGTCACATCTATGTGGTTATCTCAACAATGTCTCAAAATGCGCAAGTGAAAAATGTCTATAGGGATTCAGATTTAGATGTCAACTGGTGCTTGATGTTAGGAAGGCTTTGTTTATGTTCCACAGAGGAAAAAAATAAGTCATACAGGTATGGAAACCTCATAAGGGTAAGTACATGTTGACAGAATTTTTATTTTTGGGTGAACAATCCCTTTGTCACAAAAGTTGGCTGGATATATGGGGTGATGGATTCTGAATGTGATTAAAAAAAAGATCCTTTCTTTATAATGGTTGTGTTACCATTTCAAATGGCTCACTTTTGCGAAACTGATTCTGTCTAGGTGAGAAATGAAAAACTGCCATATCAGTTCTTAGTCTCAGTTAAAATATGAATAATGTGATAATAAGGTATTTCAAAAGGAAGGCAAACGGGCAGAGAGTACACACACAAGGTAACATTAACACTACACACACCTTACATAAACAAGGAATGAGGGAGAACGCAGGGTTTAAATACATGGGCTAACAAAGGAACATAAGCAGGTCATAGACTGAACACAGGTGAATGAATTGATGAAGACAAGACACAGGTGCTGTAACTAAACACTAATGAGGAGCGGGAAAACCGGGAAACAGGACTGAACCAAAAACACTAAGCAGGGGGGCACACAGGAAACACTACATGTTCCCCAGTTATATCGTTATAACTGGACACCGGTACACTGTCACCATAATGTGGGAGGGGAATTACCTCAAACTATTGGATTATATTCTATTGGTATTATATTATATTGGTATTATATTATATTATATTATATTATATTATATTATATTATATTATATTATATTATATTATATTCAATATAATTGTCCATGGTGGAGAAGTCAGTAGGTTGAGTATTGAGAATTTTCACGACACTAGCTTGTATTCTAGTCAGTTTTAGAACTTCAAATTGAACTTCTTATGTTATGTTTTTATGTTATGTCTTGCTGCTATTAAAGCATGGAAATGCACCAATGTGTTTTGACATATTTTCCACTGATTAGGTTGGTTGTGATTACATTAAATTACATTAGTGTGTAAGCACACATTTTCCCAGCTTGCAGCCTTGCACACAGTTTATGCTAAAGAGATTTCCAAGGCTTTGCATCCATATTTCAAAAATCCACCTTTGAAATTCTCTACGTTTCCCTTTTTTCTCTTTGTCTACTTGCTTCGGAGTAACTGACGACTTGAAAGATATCACTTTTGACAATATCTTTGAAAAAATGATAACTTCTCAATCCAAGCACAATAATGCAACACTTTCTATGTGCTACACCCAATTCATACACAAGCAAAAAGCAGTTTGTGCTCAGTCTGCAAAATAGTGAATTAATCTATTATTTCTCAAAATAAGAGAAATTTCAGTAACACTTTACAATAATTTTCCATTTATTAACATCAGTTAATTAGTTAACATCAACTAATAATGAAATACTTTAATCTAAGTCAATGTTAATTTTCAATACACTAAAATACACTTTTTTAACTTTAGTTTGTGTGTAATGTTGCTGTTTGAGCAGAAAAAAGATCTGCAAGGTTACAAAGCTAAAATTCCCTACAAAGGGAGATATTTTATTTAACAGAATCCCCTTTTCAAGAACTACAACGAGCGGCTCGTTTGGACTACAACACGATTTTTCTGGATCTTATGAATCAGTGTTAGTCATTTAAATAATCCGCGTCCACTGAATACGCAATAAAGGGGAAGAGGCCTGGTTGAGCTGCATTAGAGAAGGGGGGCCAAGATGGCTGTGTGTTAGGTGGACATGTTATTGAACGTCTCGTCAGGAAATTTTTAAATGGCCGCTTATATGGCCATTATACCCAGCCAGCACAGCCATGTGGGGCCCACATGGGTTTGACCTGGGCTATCTAACTGGGACCCAGCCAGTTTTGTCCACGGTTTCCATGTAGGCCCCACTTGGGTTTGCCCAGATGAAATGAACACTGCTCAGTGTGCACACTACAGGCTGTTAAATGTAACACATATCAGTGTTGGAGTTAATGAGATAATTGATTGAATAATGATTGAGCAGTATTGATAAACACCTGCTGTTAACAAGCAGAATCACTGAAGGAAAGAGAAACACAAGACCTACTTCCAGCCACAGCCTTAAATGAAATCAACTGAAGATAAAATACACGAAATCTCTCAAGATCTGATTAAACAACTCCACAAACAGCATTACCAGCTTCACTTATTACTAACCAGGATGATTTTATTTCGGTCAGACATCTACAGAAGTTCTTATTAAGAATTTACAGAGGTTAAGATGTTGATGATTTATTGAAAATAATAGTTTGGTTTGATGCCACCATTATGGTGATCAGCGTTTGCTTTAGTTGGGCTCTTGACTTTTTAACATTAGTTTTTCTCTGGCAGCTGTATCTGATTGTTATGTTGAGAACAGCAAGAGAAAATGCAATCAGATGCTATAAGGTGATTTATGATAAGAATATAATCATCATATAGTGGCTTAACTCACTAATATTGTGAGTTTTATATGGGTGATATGTTATTCATTTTGTTTTATTGTTGTGATTCTACAGCAAGAAATCCAGCAAATTTTTTATCAGAACATCAAATGATTTTTAAAACACCATTTATACATTTTAGACTACTGCGATTTTTGCTCACACATATACATCAAGAATCAGCATATGAATCGCTACAATGGTGACATCCATCATGCTGCAATGCATTCTGGGAGCCATGGATAAGTTTTGTATGATGCTCCCAGAATGCATTGCACCATGAAGCATGTCACCATTGTTGAGATTCATATGCTGATTCTTGATGTCTATGTCCAAAATGTGTAAATGGTGTTTTAACAATCATTTGATGTTCTGATAAAAATGTGCTGGAACTCTTGCTGTAGAATCACAACAATAAAACAAAATGAATAACATATCACCCGTATAAATCTCACACACAATGATTTTATTCTTATCATCAATCAGTTTATAGCATCTGATTGCTGTTATCAACATAACAATCAGATACAACTGAGCAGAGAAAAACTAATGTTAAAAAATCAAGAGCCCAACTAAAGCACACACTGATCACCATAATGGTGGCGTCAAACCAATAAATTAATTATCTCATTAACTCCAACACAGATATGTGTTACATTTAACAGCCTGTAGTGTGCACACTGAGCAGTGTTCATTTCATCTGGGCAAACCCATGTGGGGCCTACATGGAAACCATGGACAAAACTGGCTGGGTCCCAGTTAGATAGCCCAGGTCAAACCCATGTGGGCCCCACATGGCTGTGCTGGCTGGGATAGTTTGACATTTACTATTTATGAACGTGTAAGTGATTGCTTTCTTCACTTTAACCTCCACTTTAACCGCCAATTCATCTATGGGTAGAAGGAAAAATAGACAAACTTCCAACGTGACAGCACACGTGCCTATGTCAACTATGGAGCCTATTCAAATCGCTGAAGGGAACGATAGCGCCGCATAATGTTGACGAACATAACTGGTTCGATTCATGCCCAGATTTGAGTGATCTCCTTGCTACTCCCCAGCCTGATACTCCCTTAAAACCTCCATCAAAAAACAACAACAACAAAAAAAAAGAAAAAAAGAAAAAGCATGGAAAGTAAATGGAAAGTAACGGCTCTTCAGCAGATATTCTGGTGGCCATTAGCGAGCTTTCTGTCAAATATAAAGAGATGTTTCAGAAAATGTCTGCAATTGACACAAGGACTGAATCACGGCTAAGCAGATTGAGACTATGTCGTCAACTGTTACTCAACTTGTTGCTGAGGTAGCAACGCACAAGGAGTCTC